AAAACACTGTCCTCTTTATTATATGGCTAGGCTCCACTGATTTATTGTTCCACAGTACATTATTTTTACAATCCCATGGTTTCCTGTATAATACACAAAATAGTTCTAATAGTTCCTATCCCAGTATACTGCCTTGGCATAAAAAAATTAGCAAAATTATTCACTTGTAACTCTGAGACTCTGAGGCTCAAAGGGGATCCCAACCACATCGCGCGAGATATAAGGCACTTCATGAAACAATGGGTGACAATCTCAACTTCTTGATGACACATAGGGCATTCAAGGTCAACAGCTATTTTATTTTAAGACAGATTCTTTGAAGTAGGGAGAATGTCTTTATATGCACTTTATACTAGTAATTGAATCTTTTAGATACCAAATATGTCGCCCTAAAAATTAGTTGAGGAGCTGGATGGGGCACCAAGGGATCTTTTCATATGAATAACCCTACGATATATAGATCAAACCGACTGATTGCCATTCCGTGTAAAGTTCCATGTCCAGTTATCACTCCTCATCCAACAAAGAGGTATCAACATAATTAGTTGTGCCTTATAAAGGTTAAAAATGGACATAATCAAGTCTCGTTTCCATGTACGCCAGCCATCATCTATGAGATCACTGACATATTCGAGTTCACATCCTTCTGGTTGTAGAGATTGGACGTGGTATTGGTTTTCACTAAGCAGCCATGGTTCATCCCAAATGAGTGTGCTAATTCCATTGCCTATTAGGCATCTATATCCTTGCTTTAACAATTCCTTGGAAGACCAGATACTTCACCATATCAGACTTGAGAGAGGCTTCAATTTTGAGTTCAAGAAATCACTTCGAGGGAAGTATTTTGCGTTTAATACTTTTGTTTCTAGGGAGTCGAGATTAGACAACAGTCTACAACCTTGTTTCCCTAGCATTGCAATGTTAAACTTATGAATAGCCCTGAAACCCAAACCACCTTGCTTCTTCTATAAGGCCAACTTTTCCCTTTCCATCCAGTGGATTTTGTGGATATCTTTTCTCCTCCCAACTACTATCTCTTCATAATTCTCTCAAGCTCTAAATAAAAAGTAATGGGGAACTTAAACAATCCCATAACATAGGTTGGTAAAGATTGTAGAACTAATTTAATTAAGACTTCTCTTCCAACTCTAGATAAGGGTTGTTCCCGTTATTCATTAATCTGCGCCTAGAATTTTGTTTTCGAACTAGAGAAAGCCACCATGCATGATCTGCCTACATATGATGGGAGACGTAAATATCTTCCTACTTGTTCTATTTCATTCATCCCCAAAAGTCCTAAATATTTGTCTTCTAGTCCCATGCTACACATTGCTACTTGTTGATGAATTTATGAGAAAAAGAAGGGACTTGGAGGAGGAAGAGAGAGCCAACCAGGAGTTCCCTTTTTAGGTGAGGTGAGAACTCAGTTTTTCATTCATTGTTCTGCTATTAAATAGTAGAAAATTCAGTACATAAACAATAATTTTCATACTTATCTAATACATTTAATGCAAGATTACATTAAAAGACTTGCTGCCACTTGTGCAGCTTCATTTCCTTTCATTTGCTGCCACTTGTGTAGCTTCATGTGGCTGTACTTGCTGCTACTTTGCAGCCTCATTTGCATTTCATTATAGCCTCATTTCATCAACATTTGCAGCATAGCTTGCTCCACTCTGCTGCTACCATGTTTAGTGCAGCTCTCCCTCCATTTCATTTTGCTACCACTTGTGCAGCTTTCTTTCCATTTGCTACCTCTTGTGCAGCTTTGACACTACAGCTCCAACACTCCTCCTTGGTGTTAAAGTTGAGGATAACACAAAATGAACCAAGGATTTGGAATCTACCATTTGTACAGTTCTTTATGCTTTGGTTTTGATTTTTGTTGCTGCTAAAGCATCTCTTTTAGAAGATCAGCTCCTCCTTCAATGTTGCAGCTTCATCTTGCTTGGATTTGCTACTTTAACAAAATTTTGGAGCTTTGTTGAGCCATTTTGCTATCTCGTTGCATCAAACATCACAACTTTGATGCCATTTTTCAGCTTTTTGTGCTTGGTGTTGGTGAAACCTCCATCAAAGCCACATCCATGAAGAGTTTTCTTGGGAAAACGCGCAAGACATAACCATAGCAAACATAAAAGATGGATGGACATATCATGAAATGAAACTGATTTTTTTGTGTTCAGTTTCCCATTCCATCAACCATGTTTTGCCTTATGGATTGTTTTTTAAAACAAACATGAACACCTTCTCTTTGAATCCAGTTTTCCTCTCCTTGACATCTCCCATGGTGGGACTAACATATGCCTCCATCTTCACAGCCTTTTTTGCTACAAGATTTTGGCCAAGCAAGAGGGGTTTCACATGAAAAACTATCTGAAAAACAAAGAAC